TTTTTTTTTATCTCCACGGACCAATGAGAACAAATTGATCCATCATTTATGAGCTCGTCTTTTTAGCTTGGTGAAATTAGGAGTTGTATCATCAAATCTTTCAGGGCCGACTTTGAGAATTTTGATGTCTTTGACGCCTCATTATTATGAGGAACGTAAACGTAAAAAAATTTTACGTGTAAAAATACTTAAATATTTAAATAAATTGTATATTTACATTTTAAACACAGACTTGGTACGATTCAAAAGATAAAGTAACAAATTCAAGTTATTTTCAATAAATCATATTATGGACATTATGGACTCATGAAAAAATTATTTTGGATAAATGAAATTCAAGTTATAACTTATTAAAGTAAATTACTGAAAGTATAATATTGCTTTTCAAGTTAAATCATATTATCATAATAATATTGGATTCATTTGATAGCTTATAAAAGTTAAATCATATTATCATAATAAATAATATTGGATTCATTTGATAGCTTATAATCGATCATGTATATTAAAACTAAAGAAAAAATTATTTTGGAAAAGATCAAACTAAGTTAGAATTGACCAAATAAATTATTGTTAATAAATTTTTAATTAATCCATCTTTTAAATTTATACTAATTTAATTGGACTTTTATCATGGTTTTCATTTGGAGGCCCCCATTAAATATGAGGCCCTAAGCCATTGCCTAGTTGGCATTGACTTAGGGCCGGCCTTGAAATTTTTTAACTCTTTTCAACTTGTTATTTGGATAGACTATCCTATCATCATATGTGCATATACAACGTCCTCACTGAGGTCTTTCTCAAAGAGAGGAGACGATCGCAAAGTCAAAAAATAGGGGAGCATCAACTTAGAGCATAAATTATTGCCTGGATTTCAATGTTACAACATAAAAGATCGTTGACACTGGTACAGAAGTTACAATGTAGCATGAATTATTCTTCTTGTACAACCGGGATTGATAATGTACTCATAGAAGGGGGGATCCACAATTTTTTTATTCAGCGTGAGTCCCCTCCTGTCTAATTGTCAATCGAGGTTGTCAACCCCGATCGTACACATAGCACAACTGATGTAGCATATATCTCAGTTCGACAACATTCATGTCAATAATCAGAAATCTCATCCAAACGACGCACGAAAAATTGAGCCGGACGGAATTTTTACAATTCAAAAATATAGGTTTTTATTGTCATTTTCTGTAATTTATAACGAATACGTTAACCTTTGCAGAACAAATTTTTAGAAATATATAAATTGTTTAATTATAACAGCAGCCCGATATTCTTAGTCGTCGAAATTTCATTTAGCCCCTTTTGATGTAAATGAGAGAGCGTTTGAAGGAAAAATTAATTTTAACAACAGCCCGATATTCTTAGTCGTCAAAATTTCATTTAGCCCCTGTTGTTGTTTTTCAAATTTACATGCAAAATACTTCATTGGGAAAATGTGTGTTTAAAAATGAGTTTTAAAAAAAAAAGATTTTTTAAAGAATGGTGGGCAAACAGGAACTTTTTAAACAGCCTTCGGATTAGTATTACTATTACTCACTTTTCACTCAGCTCTTCACATTATATGAAAGCAAAATGTAACCTTCTCGACTCTAAAAGTAGGCAACCCCTCAAACCTCCCTACGTTTACCTTTTAGTACTTTTCATTCTATAGCATAAAGAGGCTCCAAAATAGCAGGGTAATAGAATGTTATTGTAGACAATATTCATGTAAACAGTGTCTGAAATCCCATTCAACAAAGCACAAAAACTTGATAATTGGCCTGTGGGAGCCAAAAATAGTCCACTCGACTCTACATAGAACGAAACCTCATATAACATACCACTCACCTTAAGAACGCCGCCCAATCACCAAAAACTACATTGCAAAATCCCAAACCGTGTCCTCGATTAAAATTACTTTCCACTGCTGTGCTTAGCCTTTGTGTGAGACTCCAGACCATTCTCAGAATTAAAGGTCCTGCAAGGAACATATCCGTCGTTAAACCTGTCTCTATAATAATAAACTCTTGATTGATAGTAACTTCAACACATACCTGTTGCAGCTCTTGCAGGTATGTGATCCACCTGATTTAGGAGTCTGCTGGTTTGGCTTGTTGGCAGAAGTCTTACCGGCCTGTTTAGAGGGGTGGGGCGTAGCCACGTGGCCGCCTCCTTTCTTGCTATCTGGAGTTTTAAAAAATCATACATTATCAGTCCAGAGAGAGGAATAGAAGAGTGAACACAATATAGATTTCAATATACAAATCCAATAAGCAATTAGAACGAATACCAAGCAACGTCTATGATCCATAGGGCTAAGCTTGGACAAATTTCCATGAAACCCAAATACAGAATCCCCGTGCGAGTACATTATTTAGACCCTATTTGGCCCCATTTTCTAAAACTCATCTTTCTCCAAACTCGTATCCAACCGTACATTCTTTAAATAAATAATTTTGCACGTGATGGGAATTCATAACTTTTCCTTACTTTTTCCCAACACACTCCCAAAAAAAAATCATTTTTCAAAATATCGCTTTTCAAAAATCTCCACCAAGCAAGGGCTTAATGCAAAGTATAGTCTTTCTGTAGACAAGAATAATAAATTGTAAATAAAGGACAAGACAAATCACCAGTTCTCTGTGGTGTTGCTTTTGCCTTCTTATCTGTAGCAGGTGTTTTGGCAGCCGATTCTGCAGGTCTTTTCTTGCTAGGTTCAACCTTCATCAAAATAAAGAATCATTAACTAGTTAACTAAAACAACCTTCAGCAAGAAGCATCAACGGGTAAACTATAATCTTCAGCAAAAAGCATCAATGGGTGAATTACAACCCCTTAAGGGCTTTGAAACATGAAAGAATGGAAGAAATTACACACTACCTTCTTTGGCGTCTCTTCATCACTTTCATCAGATTCATCGTCAGAGTCGTCGCTGTCATCCTCATCCTGAAATATATACAAAATTATTTGTGTGTAGGATATCAACCAATGCATATAAAAAAAATGTTATGCAACTGACTGAATAGAAGAGTTTCACAAAGACTCGTCTCCAAAGACTCGTCCCAGATTTCAACAGTTATACTCACAACACCACCTGGTTTCGGTATTCTTACATATCCAGGATCAACTTAATAAACTTTATTCAAAGCAAACATTAGGGACAGCATAGCTTTGTAATAATACCAACGCATTTAGTCGAAAAGTAAGTTTAGGAAGTGTTTATGAGCAGTTTATATTATATATAGACAGAAAAAAGTGGGCGATAAATTATCAGTACAAGTGGTTACCTCGAAATGTATAAATAAAAAGTGATTTGAGTGGTTATAAACTCGAGCCAAACATAGGCCAGCTCAAAGAAACACACTGAATCTTCATTACCGTGATATAAAAATAACAGAAATCGTACAAATAATCTTTGTATTTACCACAACATGAAATTATCGAACGAAGAACATGACTACTTCTAGAGAACATTCAAATTTTGCATGTGAAAAATCACCTTCAATAGGCAGAAGGCAAAAATAACTATTAATTACATAAAACCATAGAAATTTTAAACAAAGGAAGCAGAGTCAATTCCATACAATATAGGTAATTTATATACACATATATGAAGAGAATATTGCTTTAGCTGTTCACTATTAATCATTATAAAATACAACAGCAGTTCAGAAAATGCATTGCCAGGGGGTAACTTCAATGAATTAACAATTAGCGCACACCAAAACATAGACGCCTTTCTATAATGAAAACAAATAGATATTTAAACTAAAAACAAAGTTACATGTTAAAAGGCATACCTTGGAGTCGTCGTCATCCTCGGATATTAAATCTTCATCACTACTTTCATCATCATCCTCCGGATTCTCCTCTTTGTTTGGCTCCACAATCTTCACCTTTTGCTTTCCAGCAGCAGAACCCTTGTCTTTGGCAACATTTGACTTCTGAGGTACAGCAGGTTTCTCTTGCTTAACAGTTACCTCTGATTTCCCTGGAAATGTATATAAAATCTTATTATAGAGTTCTAGCTTAATCATTATGAATAGCAGTTCACACAGATCCAATATTTTATACCATTATTTGCAAGAGTAAGCGGAATAGCCTCATCAGGTTCAGATTCAGATTCATCTGAATGATAGGATCATGTCAGTCCCTAGCTAACGAAAAACACCAAAAAACATGTATACGAAGGGAAGGATGTAAGAGTGAGAAACAGGTAAGGGGCCATGGGAGATACTGATACTTACCAGATTCTCCGCCCTCCAATTCAGTAATGACGAGAAAAATCTGGTCAAGGAGACCAAACTACAATACAGTATTTCGCCCTTTTTGGAGCATGAGGAACCAAAATCTTAGCAAAGATCTTTAAAAGGAAGTAAACATAGAAAAATATTTGCACAGGCATATAAAAAGGATATTCTTCTTCAAAAGGATTGTTGGCTTTATAACCATAGAAGTAGACACTTCCATTTTTCCAGTTGTGTGATAACTCAAAGTCTCTATCAAAAACCAGGTCAAATTGTTGCTGAGGCAACTTTTCAGAAAACAATGTTCCTAGAACTAGTTTCTTTCCGTCAACTTTCAAAAACAAGCAGACAGATTCATTTCCCTTCTCCTTTTTCAGCTCACCAAGACAAGCCTGCAGACGAAGCATATTTGCAAGGTAAAGGGAATTGAATTACAAAAAGAAAAAGCATTCGTACAGAATAAACTTTCCATCGTACCTGAGAGAGATGCAAAACCATGCCCTCGCTAGGTGCAACCACTAGGGGCTCTCCACTCCTCACCTCGGCTCCTGGAAATAAATTTAATGAGTACGGTTTCGACAAAATATGCCCACGACAAAATCAGAGGGTAACAATTGATAATAAAATCTAATGCCAGAATATAATATCACCAGGGAACTAACAGCTGCAAAGTTGAAAGCAAATTATTCAAGACAATTGCTTCTTCAAGACACCTTTTGCAATAAATAATTTGAGCTGAAACTCTAAGGATCATTTAATCTCTTTTTCATAAATCAATTGCAGCATAGTTTAGTAAATTGTGAGGCAGCTAGAGGTTGTCAACATTGAAATATCTCAAATCATCATAGCTTTTCAATATCTAGTACATACCACAATATTGTTCTACTAATTATTCAAATTTTCAATTTTAAGACAGTGAAAACGTAGAAAACAACCAGTATGTTCTTCCTAAAGTATTAAAAACTAACTGCAATGGTGAAAATAACATCAATAAAATAAAGAACGCATTTGACAACAATATGTTACCACATAACATTAAAATTGATATGCAGTGTACCAATATTGAAAACACATCTAGTACAAAATTGATATCACAAATTTGTACGCTGAGAAGATACATAAAATACATTCAGAATAAGTGCATAAGCATAAAAGAAGTGTTTCCAAGGTCCAATTTTCGGGGGAAAAAATCTCCGAATATCATTCGTTCTGATACTTTCACCATAGATGTAGATAAAATATTTCGGCATTTGCCAATGATTAAGAAAACGAAGCTGTACAGTAATAGAATCACGGCATGTAAAATACATACATACGGGAAAATCGCACGAGTAAAACTTATTATAACAAAGCAAAACCTGAGTGAACAGCATAAAAGGAAAAAAAAAAAAA